TATTGTTATTTCAACCATTTTTAAAAACAGCAATTAAATAAAAACACAGATTATAAATAAACCAACATCTATGATTACTTAACCAAAAAAGTTTTTACCCATATCATGTAAATAAGAGTATGCCTTCGAAAATCACCAAAAGATTGACTATTTTCACCTCTGATTAGGATAAGGAAAAACAATGTTTAGCAGAGAAAAACAATTATTTTTCTTGGTCCTCTTTTATTTTTACCATAAAATTTAAGTTTTACGGTGTTTTTAAAAAAAAATCAATTAATCGTGAATAAACCATATTTACTTACTTATTTTCGTAATGAATTATGTATATTTCGTAATGACTGATGAAAAAATTAAGTTATATGCATACAACTTAATTTTAACATCTTCTATGCATGCATTTAAGCTGTAATTTAAAATAATTATAAATAGTCGAAACATGTCTTGATAAGTAAATTGGTTTTAAATAAAATTAAAAACTTTGTCTTATTTTTAAAAGTAATATCACATTTTGTGCTGAAAAGCAGTTTATTTACTTGTTGTTTTTTTGTTTTAAAATGAATGATAATTTAATAACTAAACTTTGTGATGAAATTGTATTATATGTGATAATACGATTTGTGTTAATACAATACTCCATCAATAAATATTTCAATTTAAAGCTATTAGAAAAAAATACTAATTAATTTCTGATTCTAAACTTTATCTTTTACGAAATAAAACTTCATTTTCAATTTTAAATATCAATAGTTGAAGTACAAACTAAAATTTAAACTTTGAATGCTTGAATTATGTTACTCTTTAAAAATAATTTGTATTACACTGTTGTAAGACAAATAATTTATAGACCTTTTGTAAAAATGACAAATATAATTTGCAGTTTGAATTTACAAATTAGGTATCAATGCACCAACCGCAAAACTTTTGTACAGGTGGTGGTTTTTGTTTTTTTTATCCATAATTCCAAGTATAAACCACGTAATGACCTCAGTCTTAATGAAAAAGATTGAAAGTAATTGTGCGTTTAATTTATACCCAAAATCCTCATAACATAATTGTTAATGCTGTTTATATATAACAAGCGTGTAATTTAAAAAATTTTAAAACTTGCTCAAGCACTTTTTTAACAGAAAAAAACTAAGAGTTTATAAAACTCATAAGTATTTTTAATTTTTCATTGACTTGAATTTTATTCTTTTAAATAATGCGTTATATAACACTGTTAACAAATTTATAAATACACATTTAAAAATAATCTCATTCCATCATTAACCAAACCAACAATGATCACAAAAAGTTCTTCTACTCTACTCGATAATATATTTATTAATAACATTTTTAATAACTGCTTCAGTACATGTTTAGTAAAAACTGATTTGACTGATCATTTTCCAACATTTCTTTTTACAAACAGCATAAAACATAACAATACTCCCTCAAAAAATGTAGAGTAAAATGGGGTAAAACTGAACACTTATCTTAATAATTAATTTTTTTACAATGTAAAATGATTTAAAATATTTTTTATTTTTGTTTATGTTGAGAAAAATGAGCTCTATCCGAATATATAAAATAAAAAAATGTTGGAAAGTTTTTTAGTCAAATGAATTTAAATTTGAATTTGAAAAATAAAAATGCTCAGTTGTACCCGAAAATTCGGTTAAAATTAAACGTGTAAAGTAATAAAAATTATAAAAAAATAACAAAATTGAGCCTGTAAAAAAAAAATAATAATAAAATTGAACGTGTAAAATAATAAAAACAATTTACAAACAGAGAGCAATTCATTTACAAAATAATAGGAAAAATTTACGAGTTTAATAAAAAGATAAATCTACGAGTTTTTGATATTTTTTTTACTACAAAAATCTTGATCAGTTTTATATTTTTTTGATAAACATGTTTGACAAACCCAGCTTTTGCAATTTGTACTTTCACTTGTAAACCATTTACAATTTAATTTTCATCATTTTCATTTCAACTATTTTTTTTGCTGTCCAGAATTGTTTTTTTTTTTTTTGCTTCTTTGAAGGTTGTAACTTAACTTCATTACCAGCATTAAATTCAAGTTTGCGCTTTTTTTGTATTAAGTTTTTCGTAGCCTTTCTAGAATTTCAAATGTTGACATTAAAAGAGTAAAATGTGGATTTAGGCATTCACATTATACTCTTTTGATGTCAACATTTTTTTGTTGTTGCTGACGTTTTGGACTCAAAAATGTTATTTTTAAGATATTTCAAGTTCAATTATTGCTTGATTCAATGCATGTATTGTTGATGTTACGGGACAAATTTGTGTTTTAGTAAGTTGAAAATGATATTGTGTTGATTGAGAGGGTGTGTTATGATTTTTATTAGATTGATTTTGTGTAAGTTGAGCTGTTGTAGGCTGAGTTTGTGGAGGATCAATTGTTTCAGCAATTTGTAATTTTGATTTATCAATTTGTGGAAATAAACCAGTATTTTAAATCCTCCAATTAGTTGTATTTGTGTTACACCATCTTTGAGCCAAACTTTTTAACACCGCTGTTAAAATGTTTGACTTAAAGACGAACAAAACTTTCTTTTGATAAATTGCTGCATAATGTGCTAGCATAATGCCGTTTTAATAATTTTTGCTAAATTTTTTTGACATGACAATACACTCCAACATCTAATGGTTGAAGTATGTGGAAGAAGTGAGCTAGTAAATATATTGACTTCATTTTATTCTTAATGCAAGTTATCGCAACGTGATATATTACATGTGTGTTATGACCATCGCGATATGTTACATGTGTGTTATGACCAATATTAATACATGTGTATCTGGATTTTTTTTAATTATTGGTATAAATAATTTATTAAGCCATTGCATAAATTGTTTACCTTCCATTCATCCTGACAGTGAAGATGTTTATTCAGCATTTAAAGGACCGCCTAAACACACTCTGCTGTATAGACGCTGTTTTGACTTAAATACTATAAATGGTCGAATTGTGGTTTCCGCTGCCTTAATGCAGTTACCAACTGTATAATTTATATTTTCAAATTTTAATGAACGTTGAAGTCTGCAAATTATTAACTTCCTGCCTTGGTCAACGGAAAACTAAATTTTGTCGAAATTCCATATTTTGCACGCACTATTTTCATTATTATTTGCTTCAAGAAACTGCTTTTCTCACGTTTGAAAATACTTTCTTCAGTGCAAGATGCTGCTCTCAGTATTGATATGTTGCTTGCAGCTCTAATGTTTAATTTGTGTCTTTCTGTTAATAAAATGATAATACTAGTCTTTTCTGGGTCGGCCATTTTTATAAAATCTGGTTTGATTTGTAACTTTTAAATAACCGGCAACAATATCTATGGTTTCCCTTTGTTTTCTACCACAACTTTAATCTGATAATTTTTCCAGCATTTCTGCCAATATTAACTCAAATGAACTACTAAGAGTTGCTACCAGACCTTTTCGAATTCACACAATTATTTACACGATTTGACAAGTTGGAATATTGTATATTTGAATTGCTTTACATAAACTTATTTCACTGCTATTTATCCTCCCAACCGCCATATTTATTTGCTTCTCAGAGTATTTTTTTAGTTTTTTTTTTATAATGTTTTGGCATTTTGAATTTATTTTGATTTTGTTAACTGATTTAAGTTCATTTTGATTTGTACAGGAAATTGTTATAAGTAAGTTATTGTAAATGATTGGAAGTAAATTGAATTAGCATAAAAAAACAACAACATTCCAATACCACGATAAATATAACTAAAGAACAATTATATGGCGACTAATTAAATAACATTGTTTTTTGTTATTGAAGGATATTTTTGTACAAATAGAGTTTTGTTGTTGTTGTTTTTCAGATACAAAAATACAAAAAGTAAAAGTTATAAAGTTAATGTAAAAAAAAGGTTAAGGTTTTAAAAATATAAATTAAAATACATATTCGATATTTTTTGTAATTGCCATCAGATCAGTAAAGAATAAAAAATAGTAACGATAAAACAAGGTAGAATTAAAAAATTAATTAACTAGTTACATGCGAATATTAACTAAGTGTGAAAACTATTAGTGTTCAGTTTTACCCGAATATATGACTTTTCTGTAATTCTGTTATAACTTTTTTCTGAAAATAACAATTTCATTTCTGAGAAAAAATTCTTCAGTATTTTCAGTGTTCAGTATTTCCCGCTATTCAGTTTTACCCCGTTTTTCTCTAATACTTAAGCGAGAGATACATGAAAACTCCACACAAAAATTTTGCAACCAACTAAATTTCTAATCAACTGCGTTGATTAGGAGCTGTATTTTTAATTTCACGATGCATACAATTTTTATGAACTTTTTCTTGAACTTTTTCACAATTTTGAAAGCAATACAATAAAAAATTTCCTCTAAAAAGGTTTTCTGTATATTCAAAAACTGTCATGGGTAGATTAAATCTTGGGTTGATAAAAAAAAGTTTTCAGTACTCTTTTAGATCTCGTTATTCACAAATTCAATGACACAAACACAATTCAACCTTATTCAATGTATGAAAAACTTTAAAACAGTGAAATTTTTTTGCTTTTATTAAACTTTTGCGATTGAGTTTTAATTTGAAAATAAAAAAGTTTACTCTTATTTATCCAAGATATCTACCAAGTTTTCTAAATAAATATCTACAATCCAAGTTTTCTAAATAAATATCTACAATCCAAGTTTTCTAAATAAATATCTACAATCCAAGTTTTCTAAATGAATATCTACAATCCAAGTTTTCTAAATAAATATCTACAATCCAAGTTTTCTAAATAAATATCTACAATCCAAGTTTTCTAAATAGTTTTACGGTTAGATTGCTAAACTTGTTTACTCAATGATTTAGATCTGCATAAACTGACAATATCCTAAATTAAGGAAATATTTTAGAATAATCATAATTCTAAAATAAAAATGATTTATGAATTTAAAATAAAATGTATTTATATTACTAATGAGTTTAAACTAACAACAAATAATAAATGTTAAAATACCTTCGCATAGACCTGTTGTTTTATTAAATATGTAACCAAATTTACAGACTAAAAACAAAAAAATGTAATGTTTTATTACAAATAAAATAATTACTATAATGATGATCGTGTTCATGATCATCATCGTCATCATCATAAAAATTCTTATCATCATCATCGTCATTATTGCTATTGTCACCATTTTTTTAATGTCGTTGTTCCTGCATTTGCACAAATAAATATATACTTGATATATAATTAAACTCTTAGAAGCATTTATATATATATATATATATATATATATATATATATATATATATATATATATATATATATATATATATATATATATATATATATATATATATAAATATATATATATATATATATAAATATATATATATATATTTATATATATATATATATATATATATATATATATATATATATATATATATATATATATATATATATATATATATATATATATATATATATATATATATATCAACTTTATCAAATGCCTTTTCTTGATCTATTGATAGAATAAAACTAGGTAGATTTTAAAATTGTATGTAATCTATTATATAACGTACTAAATGTAAATTTGAAAAAATGTTCCTACTGGGAATTCCGCGAGTCTAGTTTTGCTCTTAAATTTTCCCCATTACTTTTATAAGTTTAAGGACCAGCGCTTTTGTGATTATTTTGTAATCAGTGTTGATTAAAGATCTAAGAAGTATTTTTAAATTTAGTAAGATATCCTTGTTTGGGAATCAGTGAACTATTTTGCCTATGCATCTCAATTTCCACAAGGGAGCAGCTTTATTCTTAGTATTATGGTCTTCTCCTAGTTTTACTAAAATTGCTAGTTGTTGTCGTGAACTCGTGGTAAGAAAAAGGGTCGGTGGAATTTTGGTATATGTTGTTTTTTAGCGACTTTTATCAGGGCAAAAGATTCCTTCAAGTCTACATTTATCCGTCTAATTTTGCCATATAAATTCTCTTTTGTTGAAAAATTTATTACGGGAAACATTTACTAGATTATACTTACCTTGGAAGACCCCGAGTTTAGCAATGCCGTAGGTGTCTTACTTAGCATCACTTGAACCTTCTGTGTCAAAAGCATGACTTTCAACCAAGTTGAAATCTCCAGATATCAGGACGGGTTGTTTTGTTTCCTGCGAGAAGTTTCTAAGGTCGCTAAAAAAAATGGCGCTATTTTCTCGGTACATTAGGCGCTTTAATAATCAGCACCTGCACTTTGAGTTCATCAAATTTTATTATGAAGTTTAATATTCTACCGTTAATGTTCAATTTTTGTTCGGTTAACGAAATGTTGGATTTAGAGAGTACCGCCACCCAGCAACAGCTTTGACTTGGACCAGATATACTCTTCAGTTCATTGGTAACTTCACTGCTTAACAGTGGACGGTCCAGACTTTGTTTCCTGAAAGAGGATAAGATCGAAGGAGAATTTATTTAGAAAACCAAAAAAATTTTCACGTTTGGTTTGTTCACTGAAACCGTTTTTGTTGCATGCTAAAATATTTATCCATTATGAAAAAAATCAGCTTTTTTATTGGAAAACTCGTGTTGCTTAAATATAAATATAAAAAACACAAAAATTTTAGGGTTGCTAGATTTTTTTTCGGACACAAGCCCAAAACGAAACAAAAATAAAACAAAATTTAACAAGAAAAATATAAAATAATGTTTTTTTATCGGAAAGTTACTTGAAATTTTTCTTAAAATTTTCAAACCCACTATATTTAATGATGCGAAAACAATTTCTGTAAAAATACAAAAACAATTTCTTTAATTTTTAATTTATTCACTTCTTGTATCCATAAGATAAACAAGCGGTAGATTTGAAAAGGCCTTTTTATTTTGGGAAACAACGTTCATTACAGGCAGATTTTTCTCAAAAAATGCCATTTTGAATATAAGAAGTTTAAAATTTAAAAAAAAAAATTGAAATGAAGTATAAAAACAACATTTTAATAACATTACAACTAAAATATTGTAATGTTTTCAGATTTTATAGTGAATTAACCATCAGAAATATGAAAATTTTGACTTAAAAATCCTCCTATATTTGTTTTCTAATGTTTAAAACTACTTTAGAATAAAGGCAATCACTGGAATGCCTATTTTTAATCTTTTAAAAAGGGTAAAGCTTGTAGAGTTAAACAAAGAACTAAAATTAAAAAATTAAAAATGTTTTATGGAAAGAAAAAATTAGTTTTAAATAGTGTGGATATGGAAGTAAATAATAGCAATGTAAATATAGAATCAAATGGTGTAGATAGCAATATAAATATTACTAAAAGTGTTGAAGATATAAACGTAAATATAATTAGAACTGGTGATTTTAATGTAATTGGTTTTGATCAAATAAGTGTTTCTGTTAAAAAAATTAAAAACATTTCATTATCAAGACCCATAACATCGAGTAGCTTAACTACAGGATACCGTTTCATTAATTTAAAAATACTTAACTTTGTAGTTTCTACCCTTAGATGTACAGAATGCATGTCATTAGAGCTATTTTTTTCAGAAAACAAAAACAAGAGAAAAGGTCTAGCATCTTGTCTCTATATTAACTGTTTTATTTGTAATTACTAAAAGGAATTTTACTCATCGACATTCAACAAACAAAAAAAGTTTTGATATAAATACCAGGGCTGTATATGCCTTGAGATCATGCGATCACGGTTATTTTGTATTTTCAAAATTTATTTGATTGATGGACATGCCCAAACCAATAACTGTTAACAATTATAACAAAATTATGGATGCTGCTAAAGAATTAAAAGATTTGAAAAATGATTACTTTGTTTTAAACTCCATTACTGACCGTTTGCTCAATTCAATTGATGTTGCAGTACCATGTGATAGAACTTCGCAGCGACGAGGCTAATCTTCCAACAATGGAGTTGTTTCTGTTATTTCAATGAAAACAGGCAAAGTATTAGATTTTTAAGCAATGAACAAGGTATGTAAAGGTTGTTCTCTTAAAGATGACTTAAAAAAGGAAAACCCATGTGCTTATGAAAAATGGCACAATAAACACAAATGTACTTATAATTATCAAGGACTAGCTGGTGGTATGGAGCCAGAGAGAGCTTGAAAAATATGGAATAGGTCTATTGCAAAACATAGTCTGCGATATACTGAATTTTATGGTGATGTAAATAACAAAGGTTATGATGCTGTTAAAAATGTTTATGAAGGTATACAAGTAAACAAACTTTAATATGTTGGATATGTTCAAAAAAGAGTTGGAATTCGCTTACGTAACCTTAGAAAAAATAAAAAAAGTCTAGGTGGTCGCGGAAAATTGACTGATGCATCTATTGACCGTCTCCAAAACTATTACGGCATAGCTATTTGCCAAAACAAAAATGATTTAAAATGTATGAAATCTGCTGTGAGAGCTTCGCTGTATCATGTTGCCTCATCAAAACATGAAAATTTACATTTTGCTTACTGTTCTGAAGGTGCAGATAGTTAGTGTCTGAATGATCGCTAGAAAGCAAATCATACCTCAACCTGGCCTATAGGCCTGTTATTGGTTAACCTATATCAGTTGTTTGGAGACTTAAACCAATTTATGAAGAGTTAAGTAAAAACATTCTGTTAAAAAATGTCTTTATGGTCTTACCCAAAATAACAATGAATTATTTAAGATGACAGTATGGGAACGTATACCAAAAGGCAATTATGTTTCGCTTACACATCTTCAGTTTGATGTTTATGATGCAGTTGTCCATTTTAACATTGGTAAACAAGCTAGTGTGTTAATTTTAGAAAAAAAAAAGACCTAGAATGTACTTGTTAGAAGGATTTAAGCAAATATATAAAAAACGATTACACTTAGCTTAATATAAAAATAAATAAAAAACAATTATATTTAGCAAAATATAAAAATTAAAACCTAGTGAAAAAAACCTGACAAAAAATTCAAAAAAAAAAAGAGATGATTAAATATCATAAATCTTTTGAAAAAGATGGAAACCCAAAAACTCGAAGATTTATCTCATTTATTTTATCATGATTTGCATATTTATGTATATCATTTAGAAAATTTTTTATGTAAGCATTTTTAAAAGCTGTTTTTCTCAGATGGAGGTTTTAAAGACGCCGTTCAACATATCTAAAAAACTAAAAGAGGTGTAAAGATAAAAGTTTTGTAGGAATGTATTTTAATGCCTTCCATGATTTTAAAAGGTGACATTTTTTTAATAAAATTTATTCCAGTCCTGGTAAAGGTCAACAAAGTCACAAAATTTGAGTAAAGATTTTGCTAAATTTTGATTCCACTTTTCAGCATTTTTTAAAAAATCATTTGAAAAATCTGTTTCGCACATATAACAACCTTGCAAGAATAATTATCCAAAAAAAACTTTGTTAAAATTGTGTAGATCTAGAGATACGCTGACCGGAGTCTTTTAATAACTTTTTTGTATATTATACAGGTGTTATTTTACCAAAAAAAAAAAAAAAACATTTTATTCTAATTAAGTTATTTACAATATCTATGTAAAGTTGAATTTATAAAATAATAGTTTTTACTCAAAAAAATTTATGAGGGGTAATTTACCTTAATGCACGCATTTCATTAAGTTTATTTTAAATTTAAGTGTTCTTCAATAAAATGAAATAATAAAAATCTTTATATCTTTCAAATTAAATTTTTTATGGCATAAAAACTTATCTAAGTTAATTTTAATAAATTATTAATAAATAAATAAAAAGTAAACCAGATTTTAAAAAACAAACCAGAAAAAAAAAAACAGAAAAAACCGAAAGAATTTTAAAATAAACCAGATATAAACCAAATTTTATAAATAAACTTGGCTTTTAAAAACTCTAGATGGCAACCCTGAAATATTTAAGTCTTATCCTTAGTGCACGAGTTTTCGATTTAACTGACGTAATACAAACAGATAGACCCTCTAGACTATACACTTTTCTAAAACAATATTATATGTAATAAAAACAGCTTAAGCATTCATTAAAAATGTGTCATTTTTTTGCAGAAAAAAAAAAACTAAAGATTAAAA